ATATAGTTTATTTTGTGATGCCAGCTAAGAAAAATGTATTTGTTTATAATATATTTTATGTGACATAGTTTGAACTGTGCAGTGTGTGCACTGTTAAGTGCTGGAAGGCACACGCATGTGTGTATAGTACTCACATAGTTATTACATAAGCTTAACCCTTGCAAAAACAAATTTTTGGCTGGCTTTCCTATGTTGGATTGGTCTATATATTTGATCACCAATAGCTGGTACACAAGTAAGAGTAAGCCAGAAATTTGAATCACAAAGTTCATCATCATGAGTAACTTTAACCTGGAGGTCACCCATATAATGAGATGACTTTAGCTTTGTATCTTCAAATATCTGTAGGTCTTGGAAATATAAGTATGCTTAATGTATAATAAAGCCAGCAATAATGGATGTTACAAACCATGTTGGAACAGCCTGAAAAGGCGGCTTTGTTTCATATTGTGTCATTGATCAATTTAAGTGTCTACACTACTAACACAGAAATGCTCATGTTTAATGTTGATCTCAAAAGTGAGGGTGACAGCCTTTGTCTGAAGCACCAGTTAAATTAGAGAGGAGAGTTGGGACAGAGGGAAGAATGATTGATGTGACTCAGGTACACAGCCCCATGGTTTTCTCTGTGCAACAAGGAGCTTTTATATTATTTTTATTTTTATTTTGGTACCGGGGGTTGAACTCAGGTCCTTGAGCTTGCCAGGCAGGCACTTATGCCTCTGAGCTATCTCCATGGCCCAACAAAGAGCTTTTAGAGGGAGTAGTATGGACTCAATCAAACCAACAAGCAAACACACATATTTTATTACATATATGTACACATATATACTGCATCCTCCACAATTATCTTTGACATGCTTGAGTCTTCCAGTTTTGTCACTATGAAAACATTATCATGCAAAGTCCTCTCACATCAAAAATATTTCCTTATAGTCTTCCCTTTGTCCTACTTATTACAACTTTTTCAAAACCAAAGTGGCTCCTGACACTTGGGACTTAAAATGTTACTTTGTTGGGGCAGGGGAGATGGCTCAGTAGAATAAGCGCTTCCCTGGCAAGCGCAAGGGCCTGAGTTCAATCCCCGGTTTTGCAAAAATAAATAAATAAATAAATAGAAAATAAAATGTTACTTTGCAAATTTGACTGACTGCCAACAAGCCTTTTAAGTAACATTTAATAGTAAAACTTATCTTAGTACCAGCAGAAAGCAGAAAGATTAGCCAGTTAGCCATGTAATGATAGTCTGAGAACTTACAAAACACTAGAAATATTTTAAGCATGTCAATTAAACAAAACACAAGTCAAACTGAAAGCCAAAATTAAATTTACTAATTAGCTAAGATTTATAACAATGCGTTCTTATATATTTAGCAAAAGGCATTTATCTCGGGCAAAGTTACAGGAAGGAATTTTTTGCATACTTTGGTTCCTTAGATGTAGAATGTTTGTTTGTTATTTTTGGTTGGTCCTTGTGACAGTTTTTATGGAGAACCCTTCCTTTTCTGTGTCTCAGTCCAGGAAGTTTATATTTATGGTCTCATGGATAAGTTATTGGGATTCCATCAAATTAATTCCAATCTACCACTTCCAGTGCAACCCACAGAGAGAATAAAGACGCTAAAGCATATTTATAGTTACAGGGAGCCAAGGAGGCCTAAGTCCAGCCATGGTGATGGCTGTCCAGAACAACAGCCTTGACCCAGAGCCAAGCCCAAGTTTTATTCAGTCATTAAGGAGAAGTGGCTTGAGAATGGCAGGAATTAGGGAATGAGTGCTGTGAACGGGGTAGATAAGAGGCCTGCATTCACCTCTGCAATATGCAGAGAGAAGGACGTGCAGAGAACAATCTGCACTACACAATTGAGATAGAAGCTAATGTTTTAGTGCTGGTGCTTCAACTCTGATGTGTAATCTTTTAGGCCCCAGGAAGTCATAGCCTCTATCCCAAGGGTCCGTCCCAGCCAACAGTGGAGCATTGGCTCTTCACCTCCACACAGCTCATATTAAAGAGCAGCATGTGGGGGTTTCTGGGGAAATGTGCCTGCCATCTTTAAAGACCACCACTAGCACCTCAGCTAGACCTATAGGCATTGCTTAAAGCCCATTGAAGGGATAAAGAAAAGTCCTAGCCAGCTCTGTACCTATCAATACATAGAAGTAGGGCCAGGCTCAGCCAAAATGGAGACAATCACTCTTCTTCCAAGGAGAGGTGCCCATGTGGTCCTCCATGAGGTTTTCTGTAATTTCTTCCAATGGAGGTTGTATGTGTACTATGAGAAAAGCTTTCCTAAACATTTAAGAGACACTATTCATAGTCTTTTTTTTTTTTTTTTTTTTTTGATCATGCACAAGGTTGGTTGATCATCATCACAAGTGTCTGTTTTATTTTCCATTGCATTGTTTTGGCTGTTCTTAAAAGAACAGTCTCAAGTATTCTATCCCTTTTGAGTGGACAGAGTATGCAGGTACAGTGGACCTTCGAAAAATAGAGTGGGATGCCTCTACCTCTCTGCCAGGACTCACTGTACCCAGACACAGAATTTCCTAGCCAAGCCCCCAAGTGTGAAATAAATGAATTTACTTTATCAAGCAAGAGCCAGCAAGATAGCCTAGTGGCCTAAGTGTCTGGTTAGGCAAGCTTAGGGACTAGAGTTCAATTCCTGGCCCCACAGGCTGCACAGGGCAGGCTGAGCTAGCTATTGAGTTTGGGCATGATAGCGCATGCCTGTAATCCCAGCGCTGGGGAGGCTCAAATCAGGAGGATCGCTATGAGTCCAAGCTGCATACCTAATATATAAATTAAAAGAAAGACAAGAGGTAGCCAAATAGGGCTGTAATTTGCTACTCTTGCAATAGTGGATTGCTGAGCTCAAACAAGTCAAGTTCAGGTGTTGTAACCAGTTACTAGCACAGGTTAAACACACAGATGGATCAACTGGTGCAAACTTTTTTCTGATAGATTTGTCCCAGATTTTATCAGCTTGAGTTTTGTTGCTTTTTGTCTCCTCCCTTTTTTCTTTTTAAATTTATTTCATTCATTTTTTAAAAAAGTGTGTCTTACAATCAGGTATTTTAAAGAGGCGTTGTAAGTATTGTGTACATTATTGTTGTTGTTTTTCTCCTTAGATAAGGAGAAATTAAAGTAAAAGAGCAAACTGGGAAACAAATCAACTGTCCCCCTCAGTAAGCAGTTGAGCCACAAAGTGACCTGGGGTGATCCCATGATAGTTTGAAAGCAAAAGATAAAAGAAAAACCTTGAAAAAATGAAAAAAAGCATTGCCCCCACTCATTTAGCAACTGGAGAGTTAGAAGATGTCTGGACTGTAAAAACCTACCCTTGAGCTCACCTAAGTCCATCGCATTTATTCAATAACAAATAATGAATGCAAGTGAATGACAAGGAGATCCTCAGAAAGCTTAGTTGTGTTTTGGAGAGAATAGACAATAGTGGCAGCGGATCCTGTGATCACTACTCTGGGCTGGAAGGACATAATTCCATTTTCTGCAGAGGTAAAGGAATTCATACTCATCTTTGTCCTGCTTTCTCACCCTGCTTCTCCTCTAGGCTGCACCTATGAGGGAAACACCTACAACAGCTCCTTCGAGTGGCAGAGCCCAGCCAAGCCCTGTGTCCTGCACCAGTGCCAGGTAAAGTCCAGTGAAAACAGCCCAGAGGGACTTAGGGCCAACTCAGAGTGAAAACCAAGCAGATAACTAAACTGAAGACCAAATTCAAACCTCGTTGCATCCTTGTGGTTTATTATGACAGTCACCATAACAAGACAGGCGCAGGGTGGATACTGTGTCAGACTTGTTTCTAGAAACACAGCAGGGTGCGCTGCCACTGTAAACTGTGCCTGGAAAAGCTCCAGGAAGATGTATATGTCCTTGGGGAAAATACATGTCTTCCTGTGAAATCATCTTTGAGTGCAACACAAGTTCCTGTTAACAGAAAGGAGGCATTGTTAGACAAGACATGTTTTCCTTCTTTGATTTAGAAAGATCTTAAGCAGAAGCCAGGCTGTAAACTGTCTTAAACTGAAGTAATTAGCACGTGGTAACCTCAGTGATTTCAGCATGATGAATCCCAGCACCGCCAGTCAGCATCTAAGGAGCCCATTGTGCCTGGTCCTCGTGGACAGCAGCAGTGACCTCACACAGCTCTGATGGCCGCAGGCACAGAACACAGCAGGATGGACCAAAGGGGCAGTGAAGAACCAAGACTCAAACTCCTTTCCTTAGCTCTCGGGAAGTACCTGTTTAAAGAATAGCAGTCACCTAATTTTCACACTACTTCAAAATCCTTCTCTGCAGAGGAGGTGCTGTGAAATCCTTTTATCTCAAACTCCATTTAAATATCTGAGCCTGGGGCCGGGGAGATAGCTCAGTAGAATAAGTGCTTCCCTGGCAAGTGCAAGGGTCTGAGTTCATTCCCCGGGTCTGCCAAAAATAAATAAATAAATAAATAAATAAATAAATAAATAAATAAAAATATCTGAGCTTTCCATGTGCATGTGAAGGAAGGTGGAAGGTGGCCACAGTGGATATTTCTCTTCCATCTCATCTCAAGCACAGTGACACGTGATGTACTGAAATCTGTATTTTACATCATCATTTTCTCATCTACAGTAAGTCTTCAGTTGCTCATTGAATTAAATATTTAGCTTATTTGTACAGTGTGTCTGTTATTTATGAAAATAAGCAGTAGCTAAAATAGATATAAACAGCAGATTCATTGACTCAAAGTTGAATTTTTTACTCCAGATTATAAATGTGGTCAGGCTCCTGGCATAAAGAAACAAGAACAATGACTTTTAATAACACCAGAGGCCCCTGAACTTTCCAAAATTTGTACTATTTTTGTACTTTCCTCTATTTCTTCCCTATCTTTATTTTCCTTTCAGTATTGGGGATTGAACACAGGGACTCACACATAGTAGACTAATGTTGGACCTCCCTGTTGCTGAGCTAAGTTACCAGCCCTTTTTTTTTTTTTTAATTTTTTATTTATTTATTTGTGTGTGTGTGTATGTATGTGTGTGGCCAGCTCAGCCCACCAGGGGCGGGGCCGGCTGGCATGTGGTGCTGGGGAATTGAACCGCGGTCCCTCTGCTTTGCTAAGCTTGTTCTAAGTAGGTGCTTTAGACCACTGAGCCATCTCACCAGCCCCCCTTTTTGTTTTTTAAGACAGGATCTAAGTTGCCTACACTGGCTTCATTTTCTGGTCCTCCCAAGTAGCTGGATTGTGGGCGTGAACCACTGTGCTCAGCTCACCTTGGTCTTTCTTCAGATCACATAAGTTATTCTCCTTTTGTCCTGCTTGTTAGTCAGTAAAATTTCTACTAAAGGGCCTCTGAAAGCCATGGCTCCAGTGTTTGTTGAACAAGAGGACCACATTCCTTTTGGGATCTGGGATTTCATTCCTGTAAACAACCAGAGGTCCTGAACATCCACAAGTTAATGGGACCAGGGTCACTCTTACTGCCTTTGAGTGAAGACATTGATTACATTAAATAGAAACTACCATGCAACAAGGAATATTTCGTTGCCTGAAAAACACCTTAAGCTATTACAGTGGCTAACACTGAGACTCCTGCTGCTTGTTGTCTTTGGTCATTGGCACATAGCCAAGAGAGAATTGACTCAAGAGTATCAAATTGTTATCTCAAAAGTCAGGAAAGTGAGCTGCAGAATGGGGCTCAGAAAGGGGAGTCACCTGCCAAAGATGAACCTCACCTTTCCTTCTTCCTCCCGTGCTAAAACTTCCCCCAAGCCCTGCTAACTAGGAAGTGGCTGTTTCCTTCAAGAAGAGCAAGCTTCCATGCAGGTGGGGCACAGAAAGGTGTACCTTATCGGCACCTCCCCACTTCTGCCTCCTGCTTCCTTCTTTAGGAGAATGCAGGAAATGACCTTTCACTGGTACCTGCTGGACAAGTCTGTTCTCTCCAGGAATGGTAACCACAGGTTTTCTCCAGCTCTTCTGAGGGTGGGAGGTCAGTAACAGAGGAGACATAGTCAGGTGGACAGTGAAACATGGGCTATACTGCACGCATAGCTAGTTATGTAACCTCTCTGCACCTGTGTCACTCTCCATAAAATGGGACCAGAAGGATCCCATTAAAAGTCGCAAGTAGTAAGTGAGATTCTCATTAAAGATGCTCCAGAGAGCCACCTGCCTTTCATGGGTACATCCAGGAACTGAACAGATGCCAGCAAGCCTGATGGATGATCTGGTGTCTTTCCACTTGACATGTAATTCTGTATTCTTATGTCCTCCAACAAAAGGAGTTCTGGTGGTGAAACTTTACCTGTATTTTCCCATTTTTAATTTTTTGGTGGAGGAAGATGATCTGAAGATCACAGACAAGAAGTTCATGCTGGGAATCAGAGGAGGATCCATCTAGATTGGAAATACTGAAGGAAAACTGATGCTAGGTCTAAAGGCTTTCTGCAGTTATATAGCTAAGTGTGGGAACTTGTGCTGTCTGTTGCCGATATTTTGGATTTTTCTCCCAAATGTGAACCAGGCCACAATGAATTACTCTTGTGGCAGAGACCTTAGGCCTGGTAGACATTTAGGATGTAGCCCTTTTGGTGGGTTGGGATGACACAGTAGAAGGCACAAGGAAGGAAACAGCTACATTGTCAAATTGTTACCTCTGTCTTCAACTTTTTGTGCCCTGCCTTCCAAACAAAATAAAATATATCACACAAACCAAACTACACATTCATTTACAAAATGGGTAGAACGTATGCACCAACCCTTCAAAGACCAACACTGAAAATTAATTTTAGAACTAATTTGACATTAAGCTGGCATTGGAGTCCCAAGATCAATGAACCTCTCTGGAGTTTGCAAATGACTCATCTGATTTCATGATTAAAACCTAGAATCTGTCTTTGGCATCTTCAGTATGAACTCAGAATTGGCTTTGTCCAGTCTCTTCCTTTGGCGCTGGACAATTGGAGAATCAGGCTCTGACTGAGACCTAGATAAGATTCTGAGACTGCAGAGCTGGTCTAGTTGTTTCTAGGAGGATAGAAAGGATTTATGTGGACCCAGGGACCTCTGGATGCCACTTAGGTCTCGCTGCTCCAGAGCTAATGCCTGGAAGTATAAGAACAGTGATAGACAATACAGCGAGCATTGAAAATGTGAGCTGTGGCTGGGGAGATGGCTCAGTGGAATAAGCGCTTCCCTGGCAAGCACAAGGGCCTGAGTTCAATCCCCGGTTCCGCAAAAAAAAAAAAAAAAAAAAAAAAAGAAAAAGAAAATCAACTCTTAATTCCCAGCACATAAATTTTAACCAATCACTTTGGTCTGTAAATTTCAGCACACCGCAAAGGAGCCCACAGTTTGACATTGCTCATTCCTAACAAAAGGTTAATGCTTTAAGTCTTAAAAGAAGTTGGATCTGTTGGTTGGTAATTGGAATAAACATTCAAATTTGAAAAAAATAAAAAAGAAAAAAAGAAAGAAAATGTGAGCTGTGAGTGAACAGCTAGACTCTGCCAGCTATCAACAGATGGCAAGAAAGTCTTAGAACTAGACCCAAAAACAAAGCAGGCCCAGAGAGAGAGCAAGGCCAGGAAAAAGTAGGGGTGGTGAGATTTTCTCTCTGATTCCCAAAGCATCAGTAGAGGTAAATAAGGGGACCATAGCTCTTTTAGGCTGAGCCCTTCTGGTCCTGACACCTACCCTACTGCACACTTTACGGGTTTGGGTTCTCCCCCTTGGTTACTTTCCTGAAGTTTATTTATTTATTTATTTATATTTATATTTATTCATTTATTTGCAGTACCAGGGGGTGAACTCAGGACCCTGCACTTGCCAGGCAAGCACTTATTCTACTGAGCTATCTCCCCAGGCCCATCTTCCTGAAGTTTAGCTCCTTGGCAGGAGTGCTGGGCTGGCTGACTGTGCTGTCTTTTGCAGGAAGGCGTCGTCACAGAGTCCCAGGTGCGCTGTGTCGTTCACTGTAGAAACCCAGTGGAACACCCAGGAGCCTGCTGCCCCACCTGTCCAGGTAACACGCTCAGGAAGTGAGAGGCCAGGAGGCTCCTCAGCATAGGACAAGACTTCAAATCTGTCTCTTGGAGATGGGCCATTGCTCTTTGCCTGCTGGATATTCCTCACCGGGCCTCTGCACACCTAACAGCGTTACAGGGCACACTCCTCCTCCTTTGCAGGGCTCTGAACTGGCCTGAATCTTCTCACTTCCTGTCCTGAAGGGCACAGCAAGGGAGTGCTGGGCATGAGGGCAGTGTGTTGTGGGTCTTGGCCAGTGGCTTCTCTGAGCCTGGAGGCCTGCTTTCCACTCCTACGTCCACAGTGGCTTCCCTTTGCCTCCAACAGTGTCTTCACCACTTCATACTGTGGTGCCTTTCCTGGAGCTTGCCCTGATGAGGCAACCAGATGCTTCTGGCAATGGAGAGATCTGTGCCACATGAATTTAGCTAAGGGTTTTGCTGATGTTCTCCTTGTGGCCCACCCTTGTAGAAAGGCTTCTGTCCAGCTGACAGTGAAGAACTCTTCATTTTCCAGCCACCAAACCTTTCCTCCCACTTTCCCTCAGGGACTGCAGAGGTCTCCTGCAGCTCCGCTTGCCCTTTGCCACAAGCCTGGGGATTTTGAGGTGAACATTTTTCTGATCTCTTAGCACTGATCATCTTGGACAGGTATTCTGTGTTTGGGGTTTTCTCTGAGCGCTCGTTCTCCCTGGTAACTCTAGGACCACTACTCTGCTTTGCAGGGTGATCCTGAGGTGCTGCTGCTCTTTGAGCCTCCTGTGAGGGGGTGAAGGTCCTGGGGGTCTGCTATAGACATGAGCCCCTCTGTGTGGTAGACCCTATTCTTTCCCAGAATTCAGTCCTTTCTTGTCCTTGAATGAGGAGGACAGACAGTCCCCGCCTCTTCTGAATTCTTCATGTCCTGTGCAGTCTTTATTCAGCTTCCTTTCATGCTGGTATTTCCATGCAGCTTGTACTGTTGACGAGCTCATACAAAAGCCACAAACTGGATAAAACCACACTGATTCTCCCTGCAATCCCATTATTTTGCGTGTGTCCCATGGTCTGCCCAGGGCCTTTCCCCTCTGATGCACTGAATGTTTCACATCAGGTCACTACGTCCTTGGATGTCAGTGGGATCTTTACCAAGCGGAAGAGTGGCTCCCTTGGACTGCACCCTGGAATTTCCCAGGAAGCTGCGGTGCTGCGTCCTGTACCCAGCTGCAGCTCAGCCCAAGTCCATCAAACCTGGGTGGAGGGACCGAGCCTCCCTGCTGATTTCCATACGTGGCCAAACTGGAGATGGATAGCAGAGAAAACTTTGTCATACAGATTTAAGGTGATCCTAGCTCTTAGCTATGGGTTCAGCTATATTGAGCAAGCAGTTGCACTACAGATGCAAAATTCACTCACAGCTTTCTGCTCCCAGCCATGGGACTCTCAAGGAACAGGGACAGTACCAAAGAGCCCTTAAAACCCAGCACCCCTGCCTGTGGGTAGTGTCTTCTTATTCAGGAAGTATGCATCCAACCTGCCTGTGAAACATGGTTGCAAATAGCAGCATGATTTACTTTAGCAGCTGAAGGCTCCTGTGTGAGTCTTTTTCTTTACTCCTGTTTTGGTTAAGTTTCCAGGAAGGAAAAGACCAATCTCTATGATCACACACGGTATGGTCCTGAGTCCTCGCCACTGTCAAGAGAGGGTTGAGGTGTCAGTCACAGCAGTGACAGCTGAGGTTCCGAGTGAGGAAGGACCAGAAGACCCCTTGCTCCTGTCTCTCACCCCACTGGATGTCACAAGAAGTGCCCAGCTCCATCCCATCCTTAAAAGCCAGTGATCCAGGGCCACATGCCAGCCTACAACACTCGGGAGACTCTGTACCTAGGTTAGGAGGTCAGGATTGAACTTTGCCCCTTTGCCTCAGTTCTAAGGAGAGCATTTGGGGTGCAAGTGGGAGGCTCAGACGGAGTTGCCTGCAGAGTTCATCACCCTTGGTCATGGGAGACTGTCCACTGAGCCTCAATGGGTACACTCAGGGGAGGCATCGGCCTCATCCCTGGGATCCAGGGGGACAGTGTGTCTCACTGACCAGGACAAGGCATTGCGCATGACTGTGACCATGCCCAGTCTGTGGTCAGTTCCTTCTGAAAACTGATTTCAGGGCATTTGTGTCCATCTGCTCCTTCTCCTCTGATGCTTTTCTCAAGGATAGTGAGTTGTCATGGGAATTATTTGAACAGAATTTTCACTGAAAGGCCCCTGACCTCAGTGTCACTATAGATTGATGTGGTTAATTTGTCTGACAATCCCGATGATATAATAGAGTAAGGATTAGAGACACTTTATTGGACCTGCCCTTTGGAGAGACATGACTAGAAAACTGCCATATATGAAGAGCACTGAGACACAGCCACATGGGACCATGTTCACCATAGCTTCCATGTTGCCAAGAGCAGGAGAGGTGGCTGATACTGGCTTTGGGTGTAGATATCAGAGAGATTCCTGGAGCAGTTTTAAAATTCACTTTTACTTACACTTTTGGCTGCAGACTCAGAAGTACTTGTCTACACATCTTTTCTGTTGAGCAGAGGACAGTGCCCAGCTTTAAGATGGGCAGTTAGGGCAGTGCCAGTCCTCAGAAACCAGGTGCTGTAAGAGTGGGGACCTTCTGTGTCCTGCAGAAGAGCTCATCGGCAGCTCCCTGTCCAGCACTGACTCTGCCTCTGGCAAGTGCCTTGTGAGAACGGTTCTGATAAAGGTGACGTTGCTCGTAACCCACAACCTCCATGGCCCAGAGGACACAGAGTCAGCGGTCAGCCTGTACTGCAGGTCACTCATGACATCACTTTAGAATGTGGCAGTGAGCTGAGCATCTTTCTGACCAGCAGACATGTCCTGGGGTTTGATCCTTTCATCAGCCAGAATTGATAGGGCCCAGAGCTCTTGATCACAGCCCGATGGGGCTGCAGGCCCTCGGGGTCACTGCCGACTCCACCTCTGTATCTTCTTGACTTTTACCGGGTTTGCTCCATTGTGGAACGGGAGGATCAGAACAGAGTTTTAATCCCAGCTCAACCACCTGTGAACAGGGCAAATGACTTTCTCTGAGAGCCACTTTTCCCCTAAGGGGGGAGAAAGGGATGGCTTCCATGCTCTGGAGGGCTGCTGTGGAGGTGAGGGATCAGGTGTGCAGGGTAGAAACTGGCAGCCCTTGGCTGCATCTGCCCTTGATACCATGGTTGATCCTCCCTGGCCTCTCTTAGCCTCTGCTGATTCCCCTGGGGTTTGGGTCCCAGCAGTGGATAATCATGACAACCCAGGGGCAGAGGGTGGGTCTCCCTACAGTGCATTTGCACCATACTCACAGGCTGACTCAGGCTTCCCTGAACTTTCTGGCACTTTGGGGGTTTCTGGTCCTAGGCTGCATCTTGTTCTTTTTTTTTTTTTTTTTTACAGTATTTATTTATTTATTTATGTGTGTGTGTGTGTGTGTGTGGCCAGCTCAGCCCTACCAGGGATCGGGGCTGGCTGGCATGTGGTGCTGGGGGATTGAACTGTGGTCCCTGTGCTTTGCTAAGCTTGTTCTAAGTAGGTGCTTTAGACCACTGAGCCATCTCACCAGCCCTGCATCTTGTTCTTCGCATGCTCTATTTTACAGTGCAGGTGCTGTCTGCTGACCAAAGAGGACACTGCTGGGTGACTGGGGTGCAGCTGGTTGGGTATGTGAGCAGAGCTTGGAGTACTCTGTTGGCAAGGAAGCTGCTCCTGCCTGGTTCTGAACTCCGCTCTGCTTTCCAGGATGCCTGTTTGAAGGTGTGCAGTACCAAGAGGGAGACGAGTTTCGACCAGAAGGGAGCAAGTGTACCAAGTGTTCCTGCCACGTAAGTCCTGCATGGATGTCCCCATGGTCCCCAGGCTCATGGCTTTTGCTTGTCCCTGAGCAGCTGTCTCAGCCTGGGTACTATGGACACTGAGCTGGCCACCCTCATGGTGGGGTGGCGTATACCTTACAGGATGTGCAGTGGCAGTTTGGCCTCCATCTTTAGTTCCATCTACAGTCAGCAGGGTCAGCAGGCATTGCCCAGGTTCCCTGCAGAGCAACCTGGCTTCCTGCCAAGGACCACTGCTCCAAAGCATGAGAGCATGGTCTGTGCTCCTTAGCTGCCTCCATACGGGAATTCTGTGGATTCTTGATTCTTGGGACAGAGAGTCTTCCTGCTGAAATAGCCCTTGCATTTGTTGCTGTTAAATGGGAAGCAGGTAGGCATTCTGGGGGGCGGAGTTCTGTCGAAGGTGGACAGAAGGAGATCATGTATACACAGTGGCTCCAGGGCAGAGAAGCAATTAACTCAGCAGGGCCATAGACTTATCTTTCTAAGCTTTGGGACTTTCAGTTTATATTCCAAGGTCATCCTCAGAGACTGTAGCAAGGAGAAGAGAAATCTGGCCTGCATTACAATTTTAAAGGGATCTTTCATTAATATGTTTAAATTTGGAGAGCAATCACTAGCAGTAGTGGTGGTGGTGGTGGTTGTTTTGGGGTCTGGTCTTAGGCAGCACCCCATGTTACTTACAGTGTGGAGTTGGTACAATCGTTTATTTTTTATTTTTTTCTCATAAAGAACAGACATTTTCCGAGTCACTGGTAACTCAGTACACATTTTAGAATAGTAAAAAGGAAACACACAGCAAACTCAGGCATCTTAACTCACTAAAGCAAAAGCATGGGTCATTGTAATTCACAGCCCTGCCATTTCTCTGTCTTTCCCACCTCTTTCAGCAAGGACTCTCTGTCCTAGAGTCCAGGGTAAAGCCCTGTGGCAGAGGCTTACAGTGATTGTATGGAGGATGGGAGGGAAAGAGAGGGAAGGAGAGAGGGTGGGGTGTTGTGCATCTCGATATAAAACACAGAGTTTATGTAACATTAAAACACAAAAGGAATTTACTAATGAAGGTGAATGGAATGGCATATTTCAACTGAGCTTCCATGTTTTCTTGCTGTAAATAGCTTTATGTTCCTTCTTATGTCCATGATTGCTATTATTGCCCATGTTCCATGTTAATTCGTCCATGTTGGTGACTATAACTTTTTCAGGTGATAATGATAATGATAATTATTATTTTAATAACCTCATTTTTTTGAGAGTACGTTGAGGAAAACCAAAGTGGCTTTGGTAGGAGGTTCTGAGTGTGCCTGGATGACCTGTTCTCCTGACAGAGTTGTGCCGAGGCCTGCAGCTGATGCCCACCTGGAGAAGGGAAGGCAGAGGTGGCAAGGAGGAGGCAATTCCTGTGGCTGTGCCCTGACCTTTCATGCCAGCAAGCTGGAAATGAGTTCGGGCATCAGAGACTCAATACACTGAGGTGTTAAGGTTTCAGTTGTTTTTAAAGACTTGATGCCTCCCCAGAGAAGTGCACCTGGGGCTGGGCTCAGGCCTCTTTCATTTTCAGTGTAAAGTAAAATTCCAAGGGTGGTTCTTGGCCAGGCATTCCTCCTCCCCAGCTCTCTCCTGCAGACACAGTCTCTACCCTCTGCTCCAGGCGGAGAGTCCAACTTCTGGTGTTCCCACGATCCCAGTGTTCTTTCCATTCTCCACTTAGTGCTCCTGATGTTGGTCTCCACACTTGGAGAGCAAAGGGGCCTGAGGACAAAGTTGAGTAAAGGGGCCTGAGGATGGAGTTCCTGCTGGGAAATGGCCCGGTACCGGTCTCTGGCCTGGGCAGGGTCACAGAGCAGCCTTTCTCTTTATGAATACAGAGCTTTGAGGTGTAAGATCTCTTTTTGGAGTTTGTGATTGAATTAACTTGGTTTTAGATATTCTTACACTTTGCTGTCTCTTGCTAGCAGTATCTCAGCAGCGAGGGCCCTGTCCTCAGGGGCAGCTCTGTTGACATCCACCTGAGAGTGTCCAGTTTTAATGCACAGCTGGACTGTGTAGCACCAGGCACAAAACGGGCCAGGCTTGCTCAGCTGCGGACTGCGAGTTCTGGTGGGTCCAGTGTGTGTGGGGTGAGGCGCTGCCCTGCTGAACCAGAGTGCTGAGCTGGAGTGGAGAGGAGCATGAGGAGTCAGGTTCCCCATATGGAAGAGGATGCTGCACAGCAACCTTCTGTGCTTTGATAGGAAGGAAAACATCAACGTGGTAGAGAGCGAGAGAGAGAAAGAGAACGAGAGAGAGAGAATGAATCACATCTGTAGTTTAAGGACCAGGGAGATGGCTCAGTGGAATAAGCGCTTCCCTGGCAAGCGCAAGGGCCTGAGTTCAATCCCTGGTTACACACACACACACAAAAACAAACAAACAAACAAACAAACAAAAAAAAATCTGTAGCTTGGAGCAGGACAATTGTCCCTCAGTGTCTACTAGGAATTGTCAGGACCCATCACGACACTAGTACCCTCAGATGATCAAGTCCCTATCTAAAATCTGCCATATTCGTGTATAGCCTGCACACTTCCCTCTCTTAGACTTTAAATCACCTCAAGATCACTGGTAGTACCTAAAACAACACAGACAATCTGAATATTTGTTTTACTCTATTGTTTAGAAAATGGTGGCCAGGAAAAAATGTCTGTATTTTGAGTACAGACACAAGTTTTTTTTCTAAATACTTTAAGTCTGTAAGAGACTGAACCTGTAGACATGGAATCCATGGATACAGAAGCCAACTACATTTATGTGGGCCTGTATTTGTATGTACATGTGTCTGTGAGCACACATGTGTATGTGTATACCAGGTATGATCAAGACATATGGTCAGTGCTGACAGACACAGTGAGGACACATCGCCGTCAGTCCTACCCGCAGCACTCCCTCCCTCCAAGTACACGTATCCCATCACTGTTGCCACTTTCTAATGCAATTCTGGAGGTTCTCTTTTCATGAGTGTCTCTACGGCGTGAGGTCATAAGCCTGGTAAATGCTGCTGCTGAGTGTCATCCTACAGATAGGTATGCACATTAAAAACATGAGGGTGTCTCCTCTACGTGATTTCCAGCTCTTCACCAAAGTCAAAATAACCAGCAAAGGGAAAGGTTCTGAATTGATTCCAGACATTGAGGCAGTCTCAGCCGAGCAGCTAGATGCTCAGGAAAGAGGATGTGCAGAAGGGCTTCAGAAAGTGGAAAGAAGCAGGAGCCCAGGTTCGAGCCCCAGCACCGCGTGCCACACTGGCCCCACACCTGGGTGTGCTGAGCTGGTCCCAGAAACGGCATGGCGGAGCACGCCTGTCATCCCAGTGCTGGGGAAGCTGAAAACAGGAGGATCACTAAGAGTCCAAGCTACATATGAGACCGTGTACCAAATACACACAAAAAAGAAAGAAAGTGAAAATAAGAATGCAATAACTATGTTTAAAGTGAGGGGAAGTATTGGAAGGGATTAATGGTAATTTTTCTTCTATTCTCATAAAATTAAAAAAAATGAAACATTAACAATATATTCCGATCATACTTCACACAAATATATATGTACACATATGCATAAATATATAAATACATTTAAGCATAAGTATATAAAATACATACATGTATTAACAACAAATACATATACACCCAGTATGTCTAGGCTGAATTCTTCCAGAAGCAGATCCTGCTGTACATGTGAGTATTATATAGAGGGACAGAGAAACGTAGTGCAGCGAACAGGAAGGTGCAGCCAGCGGAAGGTGCAGCCAGCAGAAGGTGCGTCGCCAACTACTGTGGTGCAGCATCCTCCACCACCACGTTGAACCTTAGCTGCCATTGTGGGAGTGTTAAGAAGTGAGCTCTGGAGGAGGTGACAAGGCCTTAAGCATCTGATCTTGTGAGTGGGTTCTGTCCTCACCAAGCCTGGAGGAGGCAGTGTGACTGAGAACGAAGCAGCGGGCGCCAACTTGAGAGAGAAGAGCAGCGCTCCCAGATACCAGGTTGTCTGGCGCTCTTGTCTTGGGCTTCTCAGCCTGCAGAACCATGAGAAGGCAGTTTCTATTCTTCATAAATCACTGGGGTTTCTTGTTCTGTCACAGCAGCACACATGGATCAAGACACCAACTGTGTCATGACTATGGGCAGCCTGGCCTTCTTCCTGCTGGGCAAACCCTGGAGACCTGGGCGGAACTGTGGCCTCTGAAGTCTCCCACCTGAGAGGGAGAGATCTGAGACAAGTGCTCAGCACCACCCCTCACGCCTCTGGAGGGCTGCTCTTAGGAACTACTGATCTGGTGACATTTATACAAGTGTGCACGAACATACACCACTCCCATGTGAACTCCCATGCCATGACATCAGTTCTTAGCTGTCTCCTGTTCTCTGTGCTGGTGTGGAAGGGGCCTGGGCTTTCTCTGCCCATCCTGCTGTGCTCAGGGTGAGCCCGTGGTCCCTGAGTGAAAGCCCCCTCATGCTCCCCTTGTCAGTGCACTGAAAACAGTAATGTGCTGTGTCCACACTGGGACGACTTGGCTCTCTCCTGCCAGCCAGCTGTTCCTGTGTGGGGATCACAGCAGTGAGGCTCCACCCTCTCTAGCCTGCTCCCGACCATGGCCTTGCATGTGGTAGTGCTCCTACTGTCCTATCTTATCCATCTAGGGGACGCTTATTCTTCCAGTGTCCCCCACACTCATGTAAATATTGTTGATGCTACGTGGCTTCAATTCTTAAATCCAATGCTCTTCTTTGCAAAAATCTGTGTAGCTGTGTGTTTTGTGAGGTGGCCACAGAGAGGCAGTGCACCAGGAAGCCACTTCAACTTACTGAGAGCATGCCTTGGTTAGTGACCTAAACGCCTGAACTCGCTTGCACATCCTGAGTTTAGTGGGGACGGTGCACAGCATCCCAGATGTCTGAGGACACGCTGACCTTGGCGAGAGCGCAGAGGACCCTGCAGCGCCCTGCCCCTGCCCA